ATAGGTATTTGTTATTCTCTACTATTACTTATAAGTGGTTTCAATATATAAAGCTTGGAAGTCATTAATTTAGCTAAACATGTTGACACAAGGCCTCTGGCCTCCTAGTGTGGAATTTTACCTGTGTGAACACAACATTGTTACGGTAACCTCTGTGAATAAAACATTTTGTTCCATGAACCAATGATCAAAGCCAAGCTAGGAAGCTGAAGTCAACTAATTCATTGTAGGGCTCAGTGCTACCAATCACCCATGTGTCTTTCATATTCTCCTCCTTCCCACATGCAGGTACCTTCATAGTCCTTTCACAACATAAAGATCTGCAGCCCCAACTCATGTCGACAGGGGTCTCAGTGTCTAAGGCTCCTAGTTAGTATTGGGGAAGATTAGACTTGACTTGGAGCTCTTTATCTATGCTTGAGAGGTGGCCTTCTTCACTGATGCCTTCTTTCTCTCTGTCTTATGTAATACAGTTACTTAATGCCTACTCTTGGGATGGCTATTTTCATCACCATTAATACCATCATAGGGTGTTTGCTTTGCATGCAGCAGACCCAGGTTTAATTCCTCCATTCCTCTCAGAGAGTCTGGCAAGCTACTGAGAATATCCCACCCACATGGCAGAGCCTGGCAAGCTCCCTGTGGTGTATTCTATATGCCAAAAACAGTAACAACAAGTCTCACAATGGAGAAGTTACTGGTGCCTGCTTGAGCAAATCGATGAACAACGGGAGGACGGTGCTACAGTGCTCTTTGAGGACAGGAATAAGGCTTTGTGTAGCTTTGTCTGTTTTGACAAGGGGAAGATGACTACTAATTGGGGTTAAATAGACATGTCATGGATAATAGAGTTGGCTTAGGGGAACACCAGACACCTTCTTCCCTTAAAACAAGGTTTTTGAGGGGGTATGGTGCCACCAGCAGGTCAATTTGTACCTGTGAGGTGAGTGCATCAGCAGCCTGATGACACCATCAGGCTTTCAGATACCCCCAAATTGCTGCTGTGCCTTTGGCCAGACCCCAAACACTTGGGGCATAGTTTACCAAGAAAGTAAACAGCCAAAAGTTAGGTATGTGGGAGACACACCCACAATCCACCTCTGGCTCAGCTATATAATTGGAGGCATGGCCTCTCTGGGTCCTGATCGAACTGCTTACCGGCCATGATCCCAGAGATTCAGAAACGAATCTCAGATCCCAAAGGCTTTTGGCAGAAATGCATCCTGTTCCTGCAGTAGGTTACTGGGGCTGGGCCATTCCAGGTGGGAATAGGTTTTATGCCTTGGTCTGTTCCTCTTGGCGGCCTGGTGACCACCATCCTCCAGAGGCCACTGGACAGTCAGATTTGGGCCTTCAGGGACGACACATGCGAGGTCTCACCAGATGGGGGTGGAACCAGCCCTTTCCTCCCCATCCTAGCGAAACCCCGAGTCACCGCCTACAAACGGCCTCTCTGGCTCCTGCTCAAACTAATTAACAACCATGATCCCAGAGACTCAGAAACAAATCTTGAAACCCAGAGGCTTTTGGCAGAAATGCATCTGGACCGCATACAAGGTAGCTGCCGCCTCAGAGCTTCTTGGAAAGCCAGGTATGAGTCGGCGGTGACAGGGCAACTGCAATCTCATGGGACGGGGGCAGTACCGGCTTGTCCTTCATGTCCTACCAAGGTCACGAGTTGCCCCCCACGAGCGGCTCTCGAGCACAGCCATGGCTCCAGAGGCAAAAGGTCTTAATCCAGAGCCCAGCAGCTTGTGGCAGAAAAGTGAATGGACCATGCATTCAACTATGGTGCCATGCCTACCCCGGGAAGAAAAAGGTGTTGCTCCCTTCTGCCTTTTTCCCACCCAGCAGCAAGGTGGCTGCCATCTCAGAGCTTATTGGAAAGCCAGGTATGAGCCAGTGGTGATGGGACAACTGCAGTCTCATGGGAAGGGGGGCAATACCGGCTCGTCCTTCACACTCTACCGAGGTCATGGGTTGCCCCACCCCCACCCCCAAGAGCCGCTCTCCAGCATGGCCATGGCTCCAGAGACAAAAGGACTTAATCCAGAGCCCAGCAGCTTGTGGCAGAAAAGTGAATGGACCATGCGTTCAACTACAGCCCACGCTTCCCCAGGAGGGAAAGGGTGTTGCTCCCTTCCGCCTTTCCCCACCCCTATCCCGCCCCACACCCCCAGCAGCAAGGTGGCTGCCTCCTCAGAGCTTATTGGAAAGCCAGTTATGAGCCAGCGGTAACGAGGCAACTGCAGTCTTATGGGAAGGGGGGCAATACCGGCTCGTCCTTCACGCCCTACCCAGGTCCCGAGTTGCACCCCAGCACGGTCATGGCTCCAGAGGCAAAATGACTTAGTCCAGAGCCCAGCAGCTTGCGTCAGAAAAGTGAATGGGCCATGCGTTAAAGTACGGCGCCATGCCTCCCCGGGAGGGAAAGAGTGTTGCTCCCTTCACCTTCCCCCCCCCCCCCCCCAGCAGCAAGGTGGCCGCCACCTCAGAGCTTATAAGAAAGCCAGGTATGAGCCGGCAATGACAGGGCAACTGCAGTCTCATGGGAAGGGGGACAGTACCAGCTTGTCCTTCACGCCCTACTGAGGTCATGAGTTGTCCCCCACAAGCGGCTCTATGGCACATCCATAACACCAGATGCACAGAAACCAATCTCATAATTATCTGGCTCTTTGCAGAAATCCAAAATCGCGAGGCCGCTATTGTGGCCATGTGAGATTATATGATTCTCATAATCAGCTGTAGAAAACGAAGTATTTCACAATGCCTTTTCAGCAATTCTGATTGTTGGGGGAGAAATTCTAAACAATAATGGTGCATCTTTTGTCGAAATAATGAATGTACTCAACGTAGAGAAGAGTTAAGTAGAAATCATCTACCTTACAGGCATTGGGAGCGATGGGAGGGGGCATATATTGGGGTTCTTGGTGGTGAAAAACGAGTACTGGGAAGGGAGAGGTGTTTGATCATTGTGTGACCGAGACTTAAACCTGAAAGCTTAGTAACTTTTCCCACAGTGATTCAATAAATAAACATAAGAAGAAAAAATAATAAATAAATATAATTATGAAAAAAAAGTAAGATGGAGTTCATGCCCAATTCAATCAGCTAATCAGTGGCTGAATAAATAGAGTACTCCTACATTTAAAAAAAAACAAGGTTTTTGATGCACAAAGATAAAACACCACCAATTAGGACACCACAAAAGATGCAAACATACGTGATATCAGGGATTTATAAGATATTAGAGCTTGTGATGGGGTTCTTGGTGCAAAGAATATTTAAGGACAAGAAAAGAGTGAGGTCAGAAAAGATAGTATAGTGTATAGGGGGTGATGGTATAATGAGGTAGGATGATATTGCACTTTTTAAGTTACTCTTATTTTAGTTCACACTAAGTGCTCAGGGCTTATTCCTGGCTCTGCACTTGGGGAATCACTCCGGGTGATACTTGGGGGACCATATGGGATGCCAGAATTGAACCCGGGTCAGTCACATGCAAGGCGAACACCCTACCCGCTCTACCTCTCTCCCTCTATCTATATCTCTCCGGCCCCACTTTTTAAGTGACTCTAACTCCTCTCCCACATCTCTACAGTGGCTCCTTCTTTCCAAACTTTTTATTCTCCTTTCTCAATGCAGAAGCAGGTATCAGCGAGGGGCTATGGAAGAGCACATAGGTCAGCATGGTAAGCTGAACGTAGAGAGCGATCTGACCAAGTTATTCCAATCCTCTCACCTCCTCCACTCCCCTACACAATTCTATTTCTGACCTTTGGTACTTCATCTAATCCTCTCACATCAACCACAGATCACCAGCACCTGCCAATGAAGCAGATCCTACAACCATGAGGAACCTGAGGGACTGATCTGGTGACACTGACATGCTGAGATGGCACATTCCACCTGCCACCTAGAAAAGCTGATGTCTGTGTGTGCAATACGACATTAATATATCCAGGTTTTCCCAATGAGATTCTTTTGGATTTCTTTCTCCTTTTTGTTACTGGTCTATGAACACAGAGAAAAATCTTTACTTCTTTTTCCAGTTTCCTGGCTTTAGAATAGACTAGCCCAAGTGGCTTGTGATCAACCATTTCTTCTTTGGGGCCACCTCCTATTTTTGTTTGGGAGATGACAAGGTACAAAGAAAGTGGATTTGAGAGTCAAATGTGTCTCTATTCAAACCGTAGCACTGCCACTGAGCAGCTGAGATGAACCTGGAGCTGCTCACAGCTCTCCCAGCTGACCCTTTCTGCCACTGGGGCATCATCACATCCTCTCTCAGAATCATGGTCAAATTCAATGTCACATGGATGGAGCAGTGTGCATACTACCTGGCACATAATAAATTTTCCATAATTAGAAGGTGTACATATGCCTGTACTTGATCCTTGTACATTGGTAAGCCTGGGTTCATCTTTTTAATCTTGAGAAGACACTAGATTTTCTTTCAATCACTACAGTCACTCATGAGAGTGGAAGGAAGCCCCAGAAATAGAACATGGTTCTCCCTTCTTTCTCAGGGCCTGGCTGGTGACAAGGAAAGATTGACGTGAGACTTCCTGGTACTGGAAATGCCAACCACAGAGAGAAGCCTGATCTCATTGACAGATCTCTTTAAGCAGGTGTCAATGTTTCTCTTTCCTCTCGGTTTGCAAGTGTCTCTCCAGCATCTGCCTGGGACCTTGGCGTACCACTTCCCCCTGAGGTACAGCCCACTTCTTGTCCCCTGCACTCCCCCAACCCCGCCTTCTTCCTCTATGTCATTATCTCCTTGGGTTCCTCACTCTCACTGGGCTTCAGTTTCCCTATGGGCACCATGACATCATCTCAGCCCTGGAAATTCCACTCACCCTTCAGGGTCTCCTACCTCCTGTTACAGGCCTATAAAAAGGGGTTCCCAACTCAGGATGGGCACAGAACACCTCTGACTCCTAAGCTTCTAGGATCTGCAGCTTCTGCTCCTGAAAAGCCTCTTCTCCACCAAGACCATGAAGCTCTGTGTGGCTGGGCTCGCTCTGCTCGTGCTCATGGCTGTCTGCTGCTCTCCAGCATACTCTGCGCCACGTAAGTCCTCTCTGGTGATTGCTCCATCTGTGACAGTCATTTTTTCAGTTAGGGCGGCTCAACAGTGGCCTCTATGGAAGGAACAAAAGGCTCTGGGAAGATTTTCAAGTAGTCTGCCAACTCAACTGTAGTTGAGTCTCAGTAATGTTCAAGTTCTCTTTTCTAAAGAAATAGAAACTAGCAGACTTTTTAAAAGCCAGTCCCTGCCTTTCTTGGGGCTTTGTCTCCCTGACTAGAATGCAGAAGTTCCCCTACCCAGTCCTGCTTCCATGGGCTGAGACTCTTCCACAGTCTTCTCTTCAGAATAAGGATTCTACTCAGGCTGGGTGGGATTAGATTCAGGGAATCAAATCCTGGGATTTGGAGAGTCCCACAGAGAGATGATCAGCGAATATTGATAACTAGGAGGGTCAGCTCCTGTTAGAGCTTCTGGCTCACCCTGTCTTTCCTTCTAGTGGGTTCTGACCCTCCCACGGCCTGCTGCTTCTCTTATACCCTGCGGAAGATTCCTCGGAATTTTGTGACGGATTACTATGAAACCAGCAGCCTCTGCTCCCAGCCTGCTGTAGTGTAAGTTTCAACCCTGGGTACTCTGGGAGGCAAAGACAAGAGAAGGATGGGGCGGGGGTGGATATTAAGAAGTAGGAAGCAGGTTTCAAGACTGAAACTCTCTTGAAAAGCAGTGAGAAACAAGCCACAAAGTGCCTGGTTGAGTCCAGGAGGGGAAATAGAATGAAGGGAGGGAAAATTGATTTGGAGGGAGCAAGTGTGCCAGAGGTGAAGAAACCATGGAAAATAAAAAGATTATGGGACCTATGGGCTGATGGTTTAAACCCTGCATAGAAAGGCCTATGAGAAAGTTATTCACAGGGCTGCAGGAAAGGGACCAACATGTCTATATTAATTGCAAGACTCATTCGGTCAACCTCAGAGGTTGTTGCTATATCCAGGGTGTAAGTTACAGGAGGCCTATTTACAGCATCACCTCCTGGAAGGGTCTCCTCACCCCCTAGATCTACCCAACATGCACCGTGTCAAGCAGAGGGAGGTCCCCACCATACACCAGGGATATACCAGATGGCCTTCAACATGCCAGTGATTTCTAATCTGTCCACTTCTCCTTTCACAGATTCCAAACCAAAAGAGGCAGGCAAATCTGTGCTAACCCCAGTGAGGCCTGGGTCCAGGAATACATGGATGACTTGGAACTGAACTGAGCTGCTCTGGACTAGTGCTGGGGTCTGCAGTGAAGGTCACCTGAGGCTGAGGCTTCTCTGCAAGATCCCCTCTTGCTCAGAACTTCTCCCAATAGCCCCTGTTCCTCTATGTAATTTTATCTATACTGTGTGCAATATTATTATATTGGGTATCATTTTCATTATTTATTACTTTGTTAAAGGTTGTCTATCCCCCATGGGGACGGTTCACTCTCATGTTCTCTGCTATTGTGGATACACAAGACAATGTGGTTGATTCAGTTTTACTGTTTTCACAATAAAGCCTTTGAAAATGTAGACAGTTCCTTTGTGCTTTGTGTTTTACCTTGGTTTGGGGTGAAGAGAGTTGCTTGGTGCTGTTCACAGAGATCAACCACAGTTTCTGAAGAGAGAAGGAATGAGTAACTGCTGAGATCTTCTTATCTTCTCTGGTCTAAGCACACTAAAGGCTTCCTTTTCCAGGTTGGAGAGATTGTACAGTTGATAGGGTTCTTGCGTTGTTCATGGTCAACCTATGTTAGATTCCTGGTACCACAAAAGGACTCCCGAGCCCCACCAGGAGTGATACCTGAGCATAGGAGTAAGCTTTGAGTACTGTTAGGTATGACCTCAAAACAAACAAAAAGACTTGCTCTTCATCCACATTTTTAATAAGGCTTTTACCACTGTTATGAAGCTGGGAAAAGCCTCCTTCATGTTCTGCAGGAACTAAGGAAAGGACCTGGGGTGGAGTGGGGGTTGGAAGGAGGGAGGAGCTGATCTATAAAGGCAAAAGAAAGGACCAGCATCAAAGAAACTGCCTGATCTTAACTTAGATTTTTGTCTGCTGGCTCTAAGCTGTCAAATAAATTTGCCATTAACCTAAGTGACTTTAAATTATCAATTCAGTTTAAAATGAAATGAAAATTCTATTCCTCACTCACATTAATCACATTTCAAGTGCTTGCAAACTCATGTAGTTAAATAGAGAACACTTCTATTATCATGGGCATTTCTATTGGATAGCACTGTTTTAGAATATTCTCTAGGCTGAAGGAGCAAAATGTGAGGAAATTAGGGGTAGCCTGTATAGCTAAAGTGTGATCTTTGGAGAAAAGTTCACAATAAACTTCTGAGGAAAGTGATTGGGAGAGTAAATGGACCATCCCTGAGCATAAGACAAGCTGCAGATCACAATGGCAGACTGAAAAATGACCCCCTAAGTGACCTCTTCTCTTGCCTTGGAATCCTTGTCCTCAGCACTCTCTTCCTCAGTGCACATGGGTAGAGAAGATCTCAGTTTCACAGAACAGTCTCTCCAGGGAAGGCTCATGATTCCCACATACATGAGGATGGAGAAATGTTTCACTCAGAAACTACAAGTGACATTTTGGGGTCCTCGAAGTGGGTGGGAAAGAAGGACATTTAGCTATTGCACAAAATGACACTCAATATTCTTTCTTCTTTTCATAAAACTTCCTTTTCTCCCACTGAGGCTGGAGAGCTAACATTTGCTTACTTGACTTTTCAGCTGAGTTGACATTTGCTTAGCTGACTATCCTGCTGAAGTTTCTCCGGGCTGCTGGTTGAAACCAGAGCCAGAACAGAGGCAGGACCGGAGACAGAGCATTGATTTGTGGGAAACTTCTGCAAGCCAGACCAGTGCTGCCCCTGCTTTCTGATAGTGTTTGCCTCCTCATTTCTCTCTCCAGAGAAAGGAACTCTGTTCTTCATGTATAGGTTCCTGCAAACTTCCTGTCCTCTCACTATCCCTGGGCTCCCCCCGGAGCCACCCTGTCCTGGTTCCTGCTTTATTTATTCTTTAATATATGCCCGATGGCTGCTGCAGACACCTGGCCCCTTCAAGTGAAAACAAACCTGGTGGACTTGTGGTCTGATTTGTGACTGTCAGCAGAGAAGTGAAAAGCAGCTTATGGGGGGTGAGGATGGGGGAATGCATTTTCACAAAAGAACAAAGTTTCCCCCAAGTGGGTGAAGTGTTCCTTATTTCCATGTGCCTCCAAAGTCTCCCTTGGGGTTCTTATTCCCCATCCTGGGAAAGGCCACTTTAGTGGGTGGAGATGGCTGTTCCCTGTGTCTCAGTTTGTTCATTTGTGACACTGGCACCTCTGGAAGTGACCCTTTAGCCCATGACGCCCCTGTCCTGAGACCTGTCTTTGAAGGACAAACACAGAAACTGGTGTCCAACTGTGCGCTTAGTAAAGGGCAGGGCTGGGGAGAGAGTGCAGGGGCTAATGTGCTTGCTTTGCATGTGTCCAACCTCAGTTCCATCCTTGGCACCGCACGGTGCAAGCTTGGAAGTCCACAAGCACTACTGGGTGTGGCCCTTGAGGCTCCTTAGCACCGGGAGGGTAACCAGGGTATCCCTAGCTCTGTAGGATCCAAGCAGCACGACATCCTTAGGCCCTCACATAGAATTGCCAGGAGGGGTGCCCAGGCCTTCGGAATACTGCTTGGGAGAACCCCCAATAGTCCCTCCTTAGCCAGAGCTCTCATACTGAAACGCGTACTTCAGCAAAGTGCCAGTGGGTAATGATGCACATCATGCTGGGAACTTGGCAGAGCAGTATGTGCTAGAGAGGCAAATACCCGGAACAGTGTCTTATGGAGACTCTGTAATGAAGTGCCTTCATGTAACTGTGTGAGCACTCTTTGCCCTATAGGTCTAGGCGGGATGCATTCCTAAGGGGATATGGGATTATACAATTTCCCTTCCCCACCTCACTCTGCTGTGGACCCAGTATTGCATGCACTTGGTTGTGGTGCTTTCGCTGTGATGCTCCTTTTCTCTATGATGCTCTTGAACATTCTGGCTGTTGTGGTCGCCAGGGATGGCTGTGATGCGCACACATGGGCTCACAGGTGTCACACTCCCACAGTGCTCGAACTTTTTTAGTGTCAGCGCCTGCTGGGGGTTGGGGTTACACACTGTTGCGAAGCTCACATAAACGTGGCTGCTGTGCACCGGAGACTATAGGTTCTGCTGTGACGCCCAGTGTCCCACACAGCAGAGTCATTGGCATGGCACTGGGAACACATAGGAAATTCTGGGAATCAGACTCATGGCCTCAAGCTTGCAAGGCGAGCACTTTTAGGACTGAGCCATCCCCAGGCCCTGACACATTCCAGCTTTAACTGGGAGTGGCAAAGTTCCACATATATTGACTTGATGTGTGAGAAATGTGTGTCTCCTTCATAGTAGGGGGAAGATGAATGGAGGTAATCTTAGGGTAACTTTTTCTACCTGGACACATCACTTTCTATTTCTATGTATAGACACTTATGCTGAGTAAATAATGTCATATATTATGGGGAATAATGAATAGTCATAGACACAGTGAATTACTCATGATAACAATAGCAATGAAACATCTGGGATGTACCTAGATATCCAACCAATGAAGTTGGCTAGATAAATTATGAACTGTGTCATAGAATTTTATATCTGTGTCATAGAATTTTATATAGTTGGTGTTGTTGTTGTTGCTTTGGGCAACACCTGGCTGTGCTCAGGGCTTACTCCTGACTCTGAGCTCAGGGATCACTCCTGATGGGCTTGGGGGACCATCTAGGGTGCTGAGTATCGAACTCAGGTTGGCCATGTGCTAGGCAAATGGTACCTGCTGTACTATTGTTCCATCCCTGATAGTAAATATTTCAAAAAACAAAAAAACCTCTAATTTAGAGATAACTTAGAGTTATCATAGAGATAACACTCTAAGATCTAACATTAAGTGAGAAAAGCAGAATAACACATAAAGCTTCATTCCCTTTTTTTTAAAGAAGTGTGTATTTACATGCACACATAAGTTAGCACCCCCTAGACAGTAACTGTGAATAAGATGGAATGATATACCACAAGGCTCATCTCTGTGTTTATTGTATAAGAATGCACGAATGTGTCTGTGTATGTGTGTTTGCATGTGCCAGGGATCACACCCAGGAGTCACACGTAAAAGGCATGTGCTCTAATGTGTAGTGAAATTCCAGTTCCCAAAAAAGAACTTGAAATATTATTAACTAAGTTATAGTAATGGTCACATCTAGATCACTTTCACAGAGGTATGAGGATCCCTTTCCTTATCAGCTCTCAGGGGGCTCCACTATCTGTTCTTTGGCATCATCTGCTCCTGCCCTCTGGCTCAGCAGCTGGCAGTGCAGCCTGATCTTTTGGGTTTGTGTCTGGGCTTGCCTGTCATGGTGCCCGCGTTGCCCAGAGTCACAGCTTTCCATGCTGGATTGAACTTCTTGGTCTCCTCTTACAGCCCTGATTGTACCTTCAGCCTAAGGAGTTGGCTCTGGGTGTTTGTGCATTTTGTGTCCCTGAGATCCTGTGAGCTCCAGCCTGAGTCTCTCTCTGAGTCAGGCTATTTCTTGGCTTGATTGATGTCTCCACGGGGGTGTTCAGAGGATCTTGTTCTGGCTTTGAGTACTGTGGTCCAGAGCAGGCTTCCCTTTTCCGTGCACTCCATGGTCTCAGAGAGTCAGTGATGAACTGGGGCATTGGGGCTCAGGGAGCACTGAATATTGCTCCCTGAGCAATACCCTGTGGCTCAGTTCTCTCTAGCAACCATCCACCTCTTGAGATGCAAGCCAACCTATCAAACCTATAGACACCCTTGCTAGGTGACACCTGGATGGCTCAGGGGCAGTCCCTGATCTCTACCTGCTCAGGGCTCTTAGCCCTGGAGGCAACTCTGCACAAATCAGTCACTTCAAATCCTCAAACCCTGATATCTAGGAGGTCTCAGGGCCCCCAGAAAACAACTACTGGTTTCCTGGTTGAAGGTCTCCCTCTAAAATACTGAATTCAGAGAATTTGGGGGGGGCACTGTTCCTAAGAGAATCAGGGAAACAAACCAAAGGCCAATTTCCAGGTATCAAGAACAAAGAGCTAAGAAAAGCATGCCTGAGTGCCCCCGTTTGGCCTTTGCACCTCCAAGGAGCCAAGCCCTCATCAAAGAGAAAATCTGTTGGGGAACAGAACATGGGAATGGACTGGTCTGTGGGCACCACCCCTCCCAGCTGATCTCTTTACACAGTTT